GCTGGGCCAAAGACTTCCGCAGGTGAGTGTTCCTTCTTCGGGTTCTATGTCTGTTGTCAGCTTCTATAAGAACTGACCAAATATGATTCACTCTTTCATACTATAAAGTGACTAAATCTTTTCATTTAAGCTTCTATTTCAATTCATACTTCTGCTGTGACATAGTTTCGTTCCATCCGATACTTTTCCGTCTCAACACATATATTCCTTATCGTCTTTTCTTTCTAACTTACTTTCTCTTTCATCCTCTTCCTTTTTCTCACCAGTTCTCTCATTCTTTGCCCCGCCCGTTCTTCTCCCAGCCTTACCCTCCCCTCCCCTCCCCCTCCTCCCTCTTGACCTTCGCAGTCACCACGCCACCCGTTACAGCCCGGTAATGTCTAAACTTAAAGTTGCCGGGAGAACGATCACTTACTGCGCGTCAGGAACGGTAAGTTTAATGGACAACACACAGGATATTTCTCCGTCTTTCTAATGGGCGTGCAAGTGCAGTTTCTCTTTCGCCTTCTTAATGTCTCTAGTGTGTTTATTAGGAAGTTTTTTCATATATTTTTTTTTATAGAAGTTTGGATGCACCAATTTATGACATGTGCATTTATGTACTTATATAACGAAAAAGGATCAGATTATATAACGAAAAGGGGGGGCAGTTTACCATTTTATTCCCCCTTTTCACCGTCTTGTCTCTCGTTATTTCTTTTAAAGAAATTAGCCATCGATATTAGAGAAATAAAAAATTAGGTTTCTCAATTTCTCGTTAACTGGGAATGATACACCTTCTGTTTCTGCAAAAAAATAATTCATATTCTCTAGTTACTTTACAATGTAATTAAGTGTGAAGTTTTAAGGAAAGTGAGACATGTGGTGCAGTTTGTTACAATATCTAATTTAAACTGAATATTCCCACTTTAAGTTTACTCACATTTTAGAAAATTGAATATCTCATAGAATGAATTATATATAAATGAAGTGTGTTCAGAGACAGTGATTTATTATAATAATGATATTAAGTTCGCTGATATTCTGTATAATAATTTTATGATGCATCAGATATCAGTACCAAGACATACCATCAAGGTGTGAAAGACAGACAGATAAATAAATAGACAGGCAGACAGGCAGGCAGGCAGGCAGGCAGGCAGGCAGGCAGACAGGCAGGCAGGCAGACAGGCAAGCAGGCAGGCAGGCAGACAGGCAGGCAGGCAGGCAGGCAGGCAGGCAGGCAGGCAGGCAGGCAGGCAGGCAGGCAGGCAGGCAGGCAGGCAGGCAGGCAGACAGGCAGGCAAGCAGGCAGACAGGCAGGCAGGCAGGCAGACAGGCAGGCAGGCAGGCAGACAGGCAAGCAGGCAGGCAGGCAGGCGGCCAGACAGGCAGACAAGCAGGCAAGCAGAGAGGAGGCAGACAAGCAGGCAGGCAGACAAGCAGAAAAGCAGCAGACAGATAGATAAATATGTAGATAAACCGACAGACATAGAGACAGCCGGGCAGACAGGCAGATGGAGGGAAATACACACATGCACAGGTTTTCTCCACACCCAACGTCGGGCATTTCACACAACTCACATCACTTCCTCCTGGATGGCCCCCTCCCCCCCTCCCCTCTACTCCTTCTCCCCCTCTCCCCCACCTTCTTCCTCCCTCTCCCCTTCTCCCTTCTTTCCCTCCTTCGGCCGGTTCTCTCGAGGCCGTTCGAAGGAGCGTGAGTTTCGAGGGTTATACATCGGCCTCGGAAACCTTTTAGCGAAATGGCCGATTGGGCGAAGCGACGGGCGAGGGGGCGAGTTAGGTGCCCACGAGGGTGCTGAGGCGAGAGGGATTTTTCGTCTCTAAGCAATCCTTTCGTTTTTAATATGCTTGCGTGTGTTGTAACACACATGCATACGTGTACGCACGCACGACACACGCGTACACGCATACACACACACACACATGCACGCATATATGTATATATATGTGTGTGTGTATGTGTGTGTGTGTGTGTGTGTGTGTGTGTGTGTGTGTGTGTGTGTGTGTGTGTGTGTGTGTATATATATATATATATATATATATATATATGTGTGTGTGTGTGTGTGTGTGTGTGTGTGTGTGTGTGTGTGTGTGTGTGTGTGTGTGTGTGTGTATAATAATAATAATAATGGTAGTAGATATCCAAATATTGAAAATACAAAACAAACACAAGCGAAGAAGGTGCAGTCAGCCACGCACGGAATCAGGTACAACCGACATGCTGCGCCTACGTATTCATTGGCTTGCCCACGTAAGCGCCAAGAAACGGAATATTTTTTTGGTGGGAGGGTGGATTTTGCAGATATTAGAAAGTGCTTGTAGATTATTTTATCATCGTATGCTCTTTCTCCTTCTATGTTCTCCTTTTTTGTCTCTTTCTTTTGGTTATTTCTCTTATTTTTCTTATTCTTTTATTGTTTTTGGAACAATGAATTCATTAGGCGTCCTTTTCAAGGAAAACATCAACAGTACTATGGCATGATATCCCACTGTC